TTAGGGAATTCTTTAAAAAAGCGATATGAAACGCCCCCATAATCTAAAATAAGCATTGCTGCTCGTCAAAGAGGGGTACAATCAGGCCTTGTTTTTCTTTGCAATAGAACGGTCATTTTTGGCGCATTAAGTTTTTGCCCGTTTAAAAAAAGTAAAATATAAAGTTGCTTAATATTTTATCTTACAAATAAGTACCGCAAATAGTTAACTCTAAACTAGGAAAAAGTAAAACACGTTATCTGGCATTGTTTAACAATCATGCTATAACAATCACAATAATGATTATGACGACGACGATGATGATGATGAAGAAGATAATTAATGTGAGAAAAAATGGGGTATGCATTAGACACACACAGTTTCAGCTCTAATGGCCAGGTATTAGTGCGAGATGACTAATTAGATTAGCTAGTAGCTATTAGTTTAGACTATTCTAAAACAACTGGTAGACAATTGCCCTTGGTACATTAACACACCATCACATCATGTGATCGATATAGACGAGACAATTTGAAGCTGTATAACAAAACTAGGTTCAGATCACTAAAATTACAATTGTGACATAACACTAACAGTATACACTGAGTGAGAGATTTTCCGATGCTGTTTTTTTACACTCTTTGCCATTGTTGACTGTCATGTGATAATTTCCAGTATTTTCTCTGTTGACAGAATTAAACGTCAGGTTCACTCGATTCCACACGTGACTACCATTGGTCCATGTTATGTTCAGTGGATCACTACCAGTGATGTTACACGACAACGTCACTCTTTCTCCTTCAACCACTGATCCATTGATCATATTCTTACTGACAACCTGACATCCATCAATACTTGGGGGTTCTACAGAGAAAAAACCATAGTATCAAATATTTATTTGAATCCACAAGGAAAGTCACTAAACTCGTGAAATAGATTAATAATACACAGTAGACCCTAATTCCATTGCATTCTTTTGTATCGACTATTGCATCAGATGTTGGCTATTACTGAGTTTTTATTTAGAGGGTTTAAAAACTGATTACCCTCACTCAACTGTCAAATGATGTTAGTATTATGTTACTATGGCAATGCATTTCAAATCTCGTAATGAAAGAAGAGAAGCAAAACAGAAATTCAAAGTGATGAAAGTTATGAAAAAGTAAAAGTCGTGCAGTACGTACTATTTCTTAATTCTGAACCAAGGTCATTTTAAAATCGTTTTGAAAACGCTTATGGTATAATACCAATTACATATTTACATACGTACTTTATTTAGCATAATGAACAAATTATAATTTTATATTAAATATTCATAATAAGAAATTAACATATTAGCACTTAGGAAGCGCCGTAAGCACTCAAGAAGTGGGAGAAGCACTCAATTACGTCTCGTGCTTCTCCTTACACTTCGCTCGATTTTACGTCACGTCCTGAGTGCTTTATTACTGAACGGAGCACTGAAATACCAGTTTTATTTGTTAGATATATGACCATGAAATAGCAAAATAATTGAAAGAGAAATTTAGTACTCCCATAGTACCTTTAACGAGAAGCAGTAAACTTCTATATTGACCAAACTCCACGTTGGTGTACGGTACACAGGTGTAGTTGTTCTTGCCTGTGTCATTAAATGTCACACTAAATGAAGAAAGAGATGCTTCTCGATGTCTGATAGTATTTTATTCTACAACGATGATAGAGTCCTAAGATACAAATATATAAAATCTAAGCTAAATAATAGCACTTAAAGTAAATCATGTATAGATAAATGTGAAGTAAACGATTACACATATGATAAATGGAAAACTTACATAAATAAAGATATACTGGTGCTGAATAGTCTTGTATTATAGTTCTGTCCTAAAACGTAATCTTAACGTAAACAAGATGGCCGCTCCTACTGAGCCGGTCAGCGGTATCTAACTCGTGTCCAGGCCCTAGTGGCCAGTAGAGAACTCTTCA